AAAAAATTGAATTTAGTATTGCTGAAGCAGAATGAAGCTAGAGCTATTACAAACAAAGGTGGGATGTTGTCTTTTTTTTTTTTTTTTTTTTTTTTGTGGTGCTAGTGATTGAACCCAGGGCCTTGTGAACGTAAGACAAGCACCCTACCAACTGAGCTATATCCCCAGGCCTAAAATATTTTCTTTATAATATCTTAAAATGTAGCTTCATTTCCACTATCTGTCTCAGCGCTTATTAAAATTTATGTTGGGTTGGGCACTGTGGCGCACGCCTGTGATCCCAGTAGCTCAGAAGGCTGAGACAGGAGGATCGCGAGTTCAAAGCCAGCCTCAGCAATAGCAGGGCGCTAAGCAACTCAGTAAGACTCTCTGTCCTCTTGCCTCAGCCTCCTGAGCTGCTGGGATTACAGGTGGTACACGGCTCGTGGTGCTTTTTAAAGACCTAACTTGACCCTGTCTTTCATGTGAGGTGAAACACAAAGAGGTTTGTAATATATAACACAATTCCTACAGTGCAGAGGAAGAGCTGTAACTGAAACTCCAAACTTAGGATTTTTCTCCTTTTCCAGCAGAATTTTCCCAGGTCTCTTTATCTCCATCTTTAGGCTTTTAGAGCTGGAAGACTAGGGAAGAGTGATATGGTCACATTCTTAAAGTCTAAAAAACTCGCTTCATTAGTCATTTTCAAAGTGACTTCATGAACACCATTTCCAGATGCTGTTACGAGTCTCTTCTGCTACACATCTTAATTTTCTTGAATAAGAGTGCTTTTGTTCTAGTTCCAACTGTTTCTCTCACAATGTTCTGTAATAAAAAGTTTGCAAAATGTAAATAATCCTGAGTCCCAACCAAAAGCAATCACAACTAAATTGGAAACAGACTATGAATGCAGGAACACTATATTTATTAGGTCAATAATTCGTTTTTAGCAATACAAGTACAGAATATATCACAATGCTGGTTACAAACATACTTAGTATGATTTAATAATTACAAATAATGGTGGGCACTACAAGTCAGTGAGAATGATACGAAAGGTCATTCTGACACAATGAACTGTCTTCAAAAATCTATTAAACTTAGTTATTTCTATAGAAATTACTGTGGCACTAGTAGTGGGGACTTTCATGTAAAGAATGTTAGTGATTTGTTTTTAATTGTTCGTTAAGAGCTTTTTATTTTGAGGCTATTAAACTAAAATCCCCTGTTGCTTAATAAAGTATAAAAATAGTACTGACCTGGTAATATTTAATAAAATGTAGCATTCACTCACATCATAAAACTAAATTGAAAAGTTTTAGTTACCATGGCAACATATCTTTCCATAAAAGGAATATACAGAAATGAGTGATGTTACACAAATGGTACCTGCAACGGTTATTTAATGATCCAACACTTAACTGTGCACCACAAACCAAGTTTTCTAGATATCTATATATAGCATATATATATTTAATCTTAAATTTTACTTTTGAAAAACATGTGCACTTCAACAAACTCACTAAGGCCACTCATGCTATAGATACCTAGGATTGCAATTAAGAATAGTATTACTTAATAAGTCCTAAAGCACACTCCTTCAGATCAACAGGGTAAAACCAGCTTTCCACCTAAAACATTCCTGAGATTCGTGGACAAAAGAATTACAAGTGTTCAAATTGGAATTTAATCCAAATATCATATTTAAAAAAAATGTCTTGGTAACTTGAAGTCCTCCAAAGTCAAGAGGTGAAATATGCATTAATTTTTAAAGCAAAAATAAAATTCTTAAAAAAAATTCTTTAAAGTATTTTTCCAGTAGTAACTTTGCCATTCAGAAAAAGAAGTCTGGAAACAAAAGGCTACAAATCCTGGGGAAAACATAAAAATAAGTGCTAATTAACAATGCCTGCTCTTAGCAAATCATTTTTTTTAAGTTTGTAAAGTTTTGGCCAAAAGCTTCAATCATGTTTTAGGCATGTTTACCGATCAGCTTTCCGTCTGCACTATAAAGAGAAGCCAAATGGCATTCTGATTATTTCTAAGATTGCAGCCATTGTACTTAAAAATGGGGGTTTTGCTGTGTTGCCCATGGTGGCCTGGAACTTGTGAGCTCAAGTGATCCTCCCACCCACCCCAGCCTCCCAAATAGCTGGAACTATAGGCATGCACCACTACATGTGGCTTTCTGTACTTAATTTTTGCAAGATTGTGAAATCCTACAGGTTATGAACAAAGGTCTCTTGTTAAATCCTTTGTTTTCGCAATGCAACAATATTTGGGCAGGGGCTACTACAAAGCAATAGAGAGTGCATTCTTAACTAACGAACAGATTTGATAGTAGTAAAGGTTCTTATTCTTTGGGCAAAGTCCATTTTGGGGACCCATAAATATTATGCTCTAAAAAACTGAATAGGCTCTATTAAACTGAAGTTGAAAGTGAGTGACCACCTGTATGGCATGTGTGTGAGAGCTCCCTGATGCCCTCAATTTGAATAGCACCAATCTTTTTGGGTAGAACTCAGGTAATGATGAGACCAAAAGCCCTTATTTAACATTACTTCATTAAGCTTCCAGAAAAATATTTAAGTTGGCCAAGGCTTCCTTACACTGGACCCCATAATATGTAAAAAGTTTAGTTATTGTGGGTATAATTTTATTACTTTTAGTTTTATTTCTTAATGTCATAAATTATGGTGGCATTCATTTCTCAAATTTGCTCTCAACATCTTTACTAAAGGGATAAATCCTATACTTAAAAATTATTAGGATATTATTATTATTGATCAGAATCAGAATAATGCAATTATTAAGTCATATCACTAACAAAACAGCTAGAGTGTATGTTTTATAAACACTTATGGACTTAAAGAAAACTACATTAAATTAGTGGTAAAAAGGAAAAACTGCCAATAATGACATGGGGTAGGGGATGACACTGGCTGCCAGCTGACATTATCACCCTGTGATCCAAGTCTTCTAAATACTGTGTCACTTTATCACTGAGTGTGAGCTAAGTTGAATTCAAACTGAGTTAGGGAAGATAAGGCTTTAAAGTCTTTTGCTTGATTTTATCCTAGGAAATGTTGTATGTGCACAAACCCCCCTGCCCCCCCCCCCAAAAAAAACACAAAAAACAAAAAGAAAAAAAAGAAAAAACAAAACAAAAAAAGATAAAAAAGATAAAAAAAAGAAACTTCATGTGGAAACATAAGTTTCAAAATATTTATTGAAAAACAATTTACCACAACATTCCTATACCATAGGACTCTAATAACCAATAAAAGTATACAAAGCCTATCCTGAAAATATCTTTGGAGGTATTAAATATATAGGTCCATGAGGATAGAGCTGAGTAACTTAAAATGTTAGTCCTTGGTCACAGACTATTTAGTAATTAATAAAGGGTGACTCTTGACATCAGACTGCAATTAACTGGGAGGGGGACCAGATTCATAAACTGCAGGCATGCCAATTTATTCTTTCCAGAATTTAAAGAGAATAATTTGAGGAAAAAAAATCCAGATTTCCAAATCACAAAGTTATCATCTTAGGGATCTGGGCTTGCTTATGTCTTCAGGTATACCTCTGAATAATTTAAATGCATTGGCTCATAACTAACAAAAATGCAAATAGCGGTTTCAAACAAGGTTAAAGTTGGGAAGTTAAAAAAATATTTAAAATTAAATCACCAATTAGTTTTTCTGTACTCTATGTGAATTTAGGTTTATTTCCCCTGTCACCCAACATGCATGTTAAGAGAAAAACCAAAATTCAATACACACTCACTCACGCACAGACTACTCCAAGCATTAGCTTGGAATAACATCTCTAATGGCCAAGTCATGAACCCCTGAAAATAGGGGAGAAACCCAGATTCTTAACTGTAGAGGCACCAGATGGGCCACTATAATAAGAATTGAGGTAATAGCAAAAGACCTTTGTTTCTTGGTTTGCTACATGTTATAACTTCTCAAATTTGAACATTACCTCAACATTAAATAACCCAACTGACTTAATTTAAAAAATAAGAACAAAAAGATGAAAAAGAAAATTAGAACCCAAAAAATGGAAAGACAAATTGGTGAAATACAACTATCATTAGGGGATCTCTCCATTTGACTACTGGGTTTCAGATAAAATGATGCTGTTTTATATACCATAAAAATAAAGGAATTTCTTAGAAGACATATTTCTGGGCATTCATTTTCCATTATCCCCACAGATAACACAGTAACCTAAAATTTCCACCTAGACATGAGCTATTTCACGACTCTTAGCCAATATATTTGTTTATTGTGTTGATTATTAGAGTAAATTTTAAATAATGGTGGTAGTTGCAGCAGGCATTATAGACTTGCTTATGGCATTGCCATCTATGTACCTTGACTAAAGATGTGCCACTAAAATTACCAAATTTCCCTAGTTCAGTAACTATTATATGAATGTAGTTTGTGCATTATCATTTTCCCTTATAGAGCTAAATGAAATCATTCTACTGATAAAAGTATATGCAGGGGCTAAAATAATAATCTAAAGCCTCTGGTCCAAATAACCACCTTTTCTATTAGGCTGGTCCTTTTTAGATCCTCCTGGTCCTGTTAGCAAACGCTGTTAGAGCATCTTGCATTGTTGTACCAAAAACAAACAAACAAAAAAAATGAGTTAAAACCGCTGGTCTATCATATTTTCTATTACTTACAGATCAACACTGGTCCAGTTCAGATGAATCTGACAGTCCTTCTCTTATAATATAGTTCTAGAGTGGTTGTATCCACTTCTCTGGGAAAGGTGGCCAAACCTAAAGTCAGGATGTCCCTCTTTTATTAGTACTTGTGTTAACTTTTCTATACTGCATATAAAGATTTTCCCCGTAAAATTTCTTTACAGTACAGTATTGAATACCTCCACATGGAAGAATTTTATGTTAAAAAGTTGTTAAGATCATCCTTACATAATAAGAATGCAACTCTTTTAAACTCTTAAATAGTTTTATTTAGGGGTTCTTTTTTTTTTTTTCCTTTCAGGCTTTCTGTAAAACGAATTATTTTTTAAAAAGAAAGAAAAAAAAAGGGGGGGGGTGTTTCTGTTGTTTGTTCTACTAGGTTGAGAATGTGGGCCAGACTACTTATACATGCGATACATGCTGAATATAACTGAATATATGCTTATTCTACGGACACTCTGCAAGATAGGGATTACCCAAAATAGGGCTTTCAATGGACTGGACCAGTGTTTCAATGCAAATTCCAGCCCCCAAAAACAACATGGTTTTGATTTCACAGTATGAATTCCCTGGAATCTGGGAAAAGATAATTGGTTAACTGAGGTCCTCCCTCAGCAACTTGGTCCCTCAATATTCTGAGAAATCAGGAAGGACTGCACCACTTCTTCAGTGGACTGGGGGCTGGTGTTAACGTCTTCAAGAGCATCGGTCACTGAATACTGCCGATCTCGCAACCGGTTCCAGTTAGACAGAACATTGTGATATTCGAACACTTTCTCATAATTTCCAATGGAGTTGTAAAGTTTAATGAGACCTCGGTAATCATATTCTAGTCCACTGTAGCCTTCACCAAAAAGTTTCTTCCCTGAAAATAAAAATAAATAAGTAAAGGAAAGTTCTAATAACAAAATGAAAGTCTTTCAACACAAACTAAGTTTAATTATTTAAATAGACTGGCTTGGTTTTATTCCCCTAAAAGGATTGGATACAATTCTTATATCACTGCCAGGCAAGCATCCCTGTAATCCTAGCTACTCAGGAGGCTGAGGCAGGAGGACTGTAAGTTCAAGGTCACCCCAGCAACTCAAGTGAGACCCTGTCTCTATTTAAAAAATAGAAAGGTCCGGGGATATATTTCAGTCCTCGGTTTGCCCCCCATCCCGGACCCCCCAAAAAATTCAGTTTGGAACATTCTTCTATCACCACCTCGGAACCATTTCCACCCATGTGCTATCTGAACTTTGAAGGACTGAATTTCTAAAGAAATCTCAAAGAAGAATGGCAGCATTTCCAACAACAGAAAAACACACATACATAAGGCTATGCACAACAACAGTGACTGTTCTGGCAAAATATAGAAACAAATGCAAATATTTAGAATAGTTCAATTGTGGTATGATCACTTAACTGGCATAATGTTAAACTATAAGCCAAGGAGGAAAGTTTCAGCACTCAATGAGCTCATATGCAGGGATTTGTAGGGTATGCTAAGTTAAAGAAAAAAAAGTCAAAAAATAGTATCTAGAGAAGAGGGGAGGGGAGGGGGGATAGTAGAGGATAGGAAAGGCAGCAGAATACAACAGACACGAGTATAGCAATATGTAAATCAATGGAAGTGTAACTGATGTGATTCTGCAATCTGTATACGGGGTAAAAATGGGAGTTCATAATCCACTTGAATCAAAGTGTGAAATATGATATATTAAGAACTATGTAATGTTTTGAACAACAATAAAAAAATAAATAAATAAAATAAATTTTAAAACAAAACAAAAAAGACTTCTAACCCCATGAGCCTCAAATAAACTTTCCCTCATCTGTTAAAAAAAAAAAAATAGTATCTATGTAGTATGCTATATGTTTGTGTAGGAAAATAAGAAAGTACATATTTATCTTTTATCTACATAGCAGGAAGTTGGGAATGGATAGAAGAAATGAGGGAATATTACATGTCCCTGGACAAACCTTTCTGTATAGTTGTGATTTTAAGAACAGTAATATTTCACATATTCAAAAAATACTTAACAAAATACACAGGGAGGGGGCAAATGTAATACAAAAATAAATGAATCTAATTGTTTTTCAAATTAATAACATATCCATATTGAAGAGGGCAGTGATAACTCCATCTGCTTTTGAACATAGTATTCCGAAAATACACTACTTTCAGGTTAAAGACAAAGAAAACTGTAAACAATGATAGAACTCTAAGTAGCAGGTTTGTTTTTTACAGGTGTATGGGTTACCAATTCTGAAACTACATGCATTTGGGGACTAAGCAAGTAAGTCAATATATGATGGCTAAAGAGGGACACATGTAAATATGAATACATGATTTACGACAAGGGGGAAAAGACAATCTTTTGAAGAAATGGTCTTGGGTCTATTGTATGTCCATATGGAAAAAAAATGAAAAAATAATTTTTTAAATTATTTTTTAAGATTGCTGTCTCATACTATAAAATAAAGGGCTTCTGTTCTTTAAAAGGTACCCTTAGAAAAATAAGCAATAAAATGAGGGAAGATATTGGCAATATATGTAACCAACAAAAAGGGTTTGTTATATCTATAGTAAATAAAGAAGTTCCATAAATTAGTAAGAAAATGACAAGACAATCAATATGGAAATAGGCAAGAGGTATAAAAGGCACTTCATAAGATGGCAGCCATGGCATCTTATTTTGTAATACCTTGAATTGGAAACTATCCAAATCTTCCATATGTTCATTAACAGTGGAATGGACAATAACACTAATCCAATAAAATATTACATTATATAACATGAAATTAACAAGTGAGAGTGAAATGCCATAATACAGATATATTTTACAATTAAGGTTCATTAAAAAAGTCAGACGTAAAAATATCATATAACTCCATTTACATAAAGTTCAAAAAACAGGTGAAGAGGGCTGGGGATGTGGCTCAAGCGTTAGCGCGCTCTCCTGGCATGCGTGCGGCCCGGGTTCGATCCTCAGCACCACATACCAACGAAGATGTTGTGTCCGCCAGAGAACTAAAAAATAAATATTAAAAATTCTCTCTCTCTCTCTCTCTCTTCCTCTCTCACTCTCTCTTAAAAAAAAAAAACAAACTACTTATCTTTTTAAAAAAAAAAAAAAACAGGTGAAGAATCTGTTTTGTGACGTAAAAGAGAATAGAAGGGAGGTGTGGGAGAGATGGGGCAGTAACTGCACTAAGTCAAAAGCAACTATTTTTACCTACACTTGACACTCTAATAAGAGTCACACCTCTTGCTATTGCTTCGATATCAAATAAGCACCATTAGCAAAGTATTCCAGATGATGTCCTGGTGGTATCTAAATATCCTCTGCAATTCAGTAATAGTATTTCCCTTTTACAACATATTAAAAGACATGGTGACCCACTGGTCTTTGAATCAAAATGACTAAAGGAAATTTAAAGGTAACATACCAATTGCTATAGATCGCAAATAAAGTTTCTCAGCATTTTCATACTGATTCATGTCATAATTATATAAAGAAGCCAGATGTCCCACTGAAAGGGCTACTTCATAATCTTCTTGACCAAGAAGTTGCTCTTTAATCTGAATTGCTTTAATGTGCATTTCTTCAGCTTCCTGTAAAATAATTATGTGAATTAATATACTTTACTTATGTCAACAATTCTTACCCAATGAGCAAAATTCTTCTAAATGTCAAAGACAGTTTATGAAAAGTACCATAAAGTAATAAGATCAAAAAATACACCAAGCTATTCCAAGAGCTGCCAATGGAAAACATTCCTGGTTTTTGGAAACTGTGTACATAAGGTGATAACAGTGATTAGTTTCTAATGCCAAAAGTAAAATAGAAATAGAAAATTGTTAAGAAAAAATTAACAAGGCATTTAAAAATGAAATTTAGTTAATACATTCCAAGATTTAATAGGACCTTGTTAAGGAGGTGTTAATTCATACAAACATACACTTTGTTTTGGGGAATTTTGATAGTTTTTATCAGGCAAAAAGAACATCTTTTTTAAAAAAAAATTTAGGTGTATATAGATACAGTATCTTTATTTATCTATTTTTATGTGATGCCAAGGCTCAAACCCAGTACCTCACCAATGTGAGGCAAGTGCTCTGCCACTGAACCACAACCTCAGCCCAAAATTGAACATGTTAAACTCATTCTTTCCTTCCTGTAAGCTCAAAATGGACAATATTAATACATTATAAGCCATAATTCTAAAAGAGATTCAAAATCAGAAATTTTATTGCTACAATTAAGAATATTTAATTATTGGGGCTGGGGATGTGGCTCAAGCGGTAACACGCTCACATGGCATTCCTGCGGCCTGAGTTCGATCCTCAGCACCACATACAAACAAAGATGTTGTGTCCACCAAAAACTAAAAAATAAATATTAAAAAAATCCTCTCTCTCTTAAAAAAAAAATCTTTAAAAAAAAGAATATTTAATTATTAATGAGTAATTATACAATTACCTCTTGGTATTAATACCTGTTATTTCTTGCTTATCAATCATGTGTCAGGCTTTCTGCTATGAGCTGGACATACTTAAGTTAGCAAAGGATTATGTTTGAAGTCTTTTTAAAAAATTTATTTATATGACAGCGGAATGCATTATAATTCTTATTACACATATAGAGCACAATTTTTCATATCTCTGGTTGTATACAAAGTATATTCACACCAATTTGTCTTCATACATGTACTTTGGATAATAATGATCATCACATTCCATCATCATTTATAACCTCAAGCCCCTTCCCTTCCTCTCCAACCCTTCTGCCCTATCTAGAGTTCATCTATTCCTCCCATGCTCCCTCTCTCTATCTCACTATGAATCAGCCTCCTTATATCAAAGAAAACATTCGGCATTTGGTTATTTGGGATTGGCTAACTTCACTTAGCATTATATTCTCTAACTCCATCCATTTACCTGCAATTACCATGTGTTTGAAGTCTTTCTGTAACAATCATATCAGACTTTTTGATTTGACCTGTTTCTTTTCCATGGTCCCAATTCTCTAATTTTATTTTAACGATTATGTTGTTTTATACTCACTGTTTGCTAAATTACTTTGTGAAATTAAGTAGAAATATAATGAATCTATGCTACATTATTTAAAATTACTGAACATTTATTATTTAAGGAGAGAAAAATATGAAATATGTTTCTACCTTAAATTTTCTCATTGACTGATAAAGTCTTCCAAGGTTACCATAGTGTTTTGCAGTCTGTACATTAAATTCCCCAAAAGCTTTTTTAGCTAGTTGAAGTGAAGACAGGTGCAAATCATGAGCTTCTTGAAGCAGCCTCTGTTCAGTTTCCTTATTATGACAGTCAATAGCAATCTCCTCTAAAATAAGTGCTGAATAGAAAGCAACAAATTAGTGTACTTCAAAATCATTTACTAAGCTAAAGGAACATCTAAATGAAAAACAAATAATAGCAATATTTATTGACTATATTTATATGTAATTATAATTTAGAACTTGTCAGGATTATAGGATTCCACTTCAACTGTACATTTTTGTAGAAATCATTCTATTTTAGATAGTATATTCAATTCAAATTTAAGAAAAACAATGGTATAATTCAAATTATTTTGCAGTATCAGTTTCTACTTTAATGGACTGTTTTACTTTACTGATAAGTGAGTGTATTTTTTTAAAGTTGTAGATAGGCACAATACTTTTATTTTATTTATGTGGTGCTGAGGATGGAACTCAGTGCCTCATTATGCGAGACAAGTGCTCTACCACTGAACCACAACCCCAGCCCTTGGTAAGTATATTTTTAAGGTAAATGTCAGGAAGAGGCAAACTTTTTAATCCTATGAAACTGTATCAAGGAGTACCTAAGCACTTTTGAAATTTTTGAAACCAGCCTTTATAAAACATGACCTTTAACCAAACACAACTATAAGAACCGGCTTCTTCCTACTTTACTTGATCACTAAGTCAGGCCAGAAGATATTTTATTTTCAAAGCTGCATTCAAAAATTTAAAATTCCATCTAAAATCTTGAAAACACACACACACACACACACATATAGAACACACAAACACACACACACACATACACCTGTATCAATTTCATTTCTTGAAAAACTATCTACACAAATGTGGGTAAAAGATTTACCTCACTGTAGCAATATTGAACAACAAAATGTTAAAGATACAAAGGGTCAGTAACAGAGGTGAGGTTAAATACACTTCCAGAAAAAAGGGTAAATAGCAACATATATTCAAATGGAAAAACTTTCATAATGCATTAGGTGAAAAAAGCAGGTTATAAAACTAAAAGAAATACTTATTCACTTAATTATCTTATTTAAAGAAAAAAGCTGAAATAACATCTATCAAAATGTTGACAGAAATGGTGGGGTTTCAGGTAACTTTTCATTTTTTTAAACTTGCTTTTAATTTTTGAAATTTTCATGTACTTGAGTAACTTAACTGTCAACCTCAAGGAAGAAAAAGTCCAGTTCCAGAAACAAGGTAAAATTTATCCAGAATGCATGAAATCACCCTAATGATGACCAACATGTTAGCAAAATAAATGCACTAAATCAAAAATCTTTGGTGGGCTGGGTGCAGGTGTATATCCCTATAATCCCAGAAACTCAGGAGATAGAGGCAGGAAGATCCCAAGTTCAAAACTAGTCTCAGCAATTAGTAAGACCCTGTCTCAAAAAAAAAAAAAAAAAAAAAGTTCCCGAGGTAGAATTTGCCTACCATGTTCAATCCCCCAATCCCTAGTACTTAAAAAAATACCCTCCTCTATCCTCTATAAAACTAAAGCTACAAAACCCATAAACCCATCTTCAGTATTTTACTCATGACTATGTAATCATTGTGTAACTCATTATTTTCATAAGAAATGCTTGTATTAATTTCTTGCATGCAAGAAAGAAAGGAAGGAATAAAGAAAGGAGAGACAGGAAAAAGGCACCTTAATAATATTATATGAGAGAAGTGAACAATCTTTCACCAAGAACCACTGGAAACTGTGAAGTGGAGTTGACAGAATTGGTTATTTTAGAAATACGGAGATACAGTCTAATTCTACTACCTCTGAGAAAATAAATACCCCTATTTTATGCCACACATTATCATTCTAAAATTATCTGAGACTGGATTACAAAGGGTACCTTTCACCCTCTTCGAAGAAGCCAAAAGAAGATGATCTTCAGGTAGGATGTGGGTAATGATACCAATAGCTCTTTCTGCATGAAATCTGCAATACAGATAAATAACAGTCTGGCATTTCTTTTTAGTTACAAATGATTTAAGCATTTTAAAAAAATCACGCTATAATACTGATAGAAAGTACTTATAAAACTATGGTAAATAATCAATTTCTTGTTTGTTTCACATTTTCAATCTATTGTGGACTAAGCTTTTAACTCTCTTACCCCTCCATCCACACAGACCTACATGATTCCTAGCATGCAAAGCATAGTCTCACCCTTGCATGTGATTTACCCTCTTTGCAATGCTCTTCCCCTGAATATTCACATGGCTCACTCTCATTGAATAGGCCTTTCCAGAATAGACTATATAAATGTCCCTAAAAATAATCTACTATCATTCTCTAAACTCAGTCTTCTTTATAAAGTATTCTTATCTGACATGCTTGGTTACTTGTTTTATGTTCCATCTCACCAAATAAAAGATAAGCTATTTGTCTATTTTATCTGCCAATTTTTCAAACAACTCTAAGCCTCCTATCTCCATTTCTAGTAATTCTAAATTTTCTCAAACCTGTCTTCAAATTCACTAATTATCTCTCTCTCATAATTAAACCTGACGTTTAACCTCTCTACCGAGTTTTGTTTTTTTTTTTAATATTTATTTTTTAGGTGTAAATGGACACAACACATGCCTTTATTTTTATGTGGTGCTAAGGATCGAACCCGTGTTCTGCCCATGCTGCTCAGCTCTCTCCCACTGAGCCACAATCCCAGCCTTGTCTACTGAGTTTTAATGTCGATGATTATTTTCCATTTCTAGCTATTCATTTTATTTTTTTTATAAAAGGTCTTTTCCTTATGAAGATTTAATTTACATAACAAGTTATTCACCTATTTAAATAAATGTGTAACTCAGTGATTTTTAAAATATATTCCATTATACAGCCATCACCATAATCAATTTTAGAAATATTTTCATCATGTCAAAAGAAACCCAGGTCCATTAGCAGTCACTCCCCATTTCCCTCCAACTCCCAGCCTAAGTAACATTGATTTACTTTCTGTCTTTATGGATTTGCCTATTCTGGACATTTCATATAATGGAACTATACAAGATGTGATCCTTTTTGACAAGCTTCTTTCACTTAGCACAAAATTTTCAAGGGGTCAACTGTGCTATAGCATGTATCAGTTATTTTATTTTGAAATCTAAACTGAGTACTTGCAGTCCTAGTTTTCTGAAGGCTAAGGCAGAGTGGTTTAAGCCTGGGAGTCCCAATCCAGCCTGGGCAACATAGCAAGACCCAACTTGGGGGAAAAAAGTAAACACAATCTTTATTTTTCCTCTAAAATATTACTGATTTACATATATATATATTAAGATTGGCAAACTTTTTTTTTTTTTTTTTTTTGGTACTGGGGATTGAACCCAGGGGTGTTTACCCATTGAGCCACATCCCCAGCCCAGGGTTGGCAAACTTTTAAGGGGCCAGATRCTAAATATTTTAGGTTGTGTTGGCCAGACATTCTTTGTCCTAACTAACTCTGTTGTTGTGGTATGAAAGCATTCATAGAAAACAGATGAATAAATGAATGAGTAGGGCTACATTCCAGTAAAATTTTATTTTGCCTGCAGGCCACAGTTTGCTAACCCGTCTTATATCTTTAATCATTAAAGAATACATACTTCATAATATTTTGACTCAAGTTCAAAGGGTTCCAATCATTATGTTTGTTGACCCTCACTTATAGAAAAATGTTTCCTTATGTATTTTGTAATTTTTGATGGTGACTTCACGTTAGGTAGAGCTATATCTATGACATACTTGTGTTTTGGGTTTTGTCCCAGAAGATAGCCCAAGCTCAGATAATGTTTCCTTGTCATGTCTCTGCTGTGGGGTAATTTTTCCTTCCCATTTGTCCTTTTCTTGAGGTATACTCTTTTTTGTTTTTTTAAATATTTATTTTTTAGTTGTAGTTGTCAATACTTTTATTTTTTTTTTTACATGGTGCTGAGGATTAAACCCGGGCCTCACACGTGCCAGGTGAGCGCTCTGCCGCTGAGCCATAACCCCTATCCCTGAGGGTATACTCTTGATCCTGGCTTCATGTGAGGGTTTCATTTCTAACTCAACAGCAGTTACAGAAATTTCTAAGCTTTCCTACCACCCCTAAATGGTTTACACCATAGTTTGTGCCTTTGAATTTTTAATGTCCATTATTGATTAAGGATTTATCCTCATTCTTGCAAGCTCAGTTACACATTTTAAGAGATGACTGTAATATTTTATTCAATATTTCTGTGTGCTTTAAGCAAGATTTTTTAGGTTATTAAAACGGTCTAATATTTAGCCACAGGCTGCTGTATTACTCAAAGAAAAATTATTTAAGAAAATAATCAAAAGATAAATCATTTTCTATATAAAAATGTCTCAATATTAAACTATAGAGTCTAAATGAATAGCTTATAAATTGGTATGATTTTAAAAAACTTAAGAAACATTTTAGGCATCTTCTTAAAGCTCTGGGAGAGAAATTTAATCCATAAACTAAATTAAGTACTATTATATTGGGGAAAAAAATAAAACAAACAAACAAAAAATGGTATTTACTAATTTACTGAGAAGGAATGTGGAACTTACAGTGCATTGTCAAATTTTCCAGAGCTATACTGGTGAACATAAGAAGAATAAGCCAAGTCTTCATGTGCAGTTGCTACATGGATATTTTTGCCACCAAACACTGACTGTCGAATATCAAGGGCTGCCTGAAAAAGTAATAAAAATATTTAATAATATTGTCAGCCTTTAGAAAATACCACCTATCTTAAATTAAATATTTTAATATTTTATATACCTAATCTTATAAATTTAATTTCTAAAACATTAGTTTTTAAGCCTTCTATGTAATAGTAAATTAATGAGTGCTCTATAAAAGGAAGGCAGGGCTCAAAGAGTTTATTTTGAAATAGTGATTTATATACCACAAACACACACAAGTCGGCAAGTCAATTTAGGGTGAAAAGAAAAAAGAACCATCAACATACCTGATAAATTGCAACAGACTGACAGATATTATCTACATTGAGTAAGTAGAACCCATAATCTAGCAGTGTATCAGAATATTTTGGGTGTTTGGATCCAAAATGATCCCTATAAAAAGATGAAAAACTATTAGTATATAATGGAGAGTAACAATTCAAAATGACATTTGTAAAAGACTTAAAAACAACATACTACAGGGACACAGCCACATCAATGTTTATAGCAGCACAATTCACAATAGCTAAACTGTGGAACCAACACAGATGCCCTTCAGTGGATGAATGGATTAAAAAAATGTGACATATATACACAATGGAATTTTACTCAGCAATAAAAGAGAATAAAATCATGGCATTTGCAGGTAAATGGATGGCGCTGGAGAAGATAATGCTAAGTGAAGTTACCCAATCCCAAAAAAACAAATGCCGAATGTTTTCTCTGATATAAGGAGGCTGACTCATAGTGGGGTAGAGAGGAATTGAAGAATTCTAGATAGGGCAGAGGGGTGGGAGGGAAAGGAAGGGGGCAGGGGATCAGCAATAATGGTGGAATGTGATAGACAACATCATCCAAAGTACATGTATGAATACACAAATTGTTGTCAACATACTTTATATACAGCCAGAGAAATGAAAAATTGTGCAGTATACATGTAATAAAAATTATAATGCATTCTGCTGTCTTTTTAAAAGAAAAAGAAAAATAAATAAATAAATAAAATGACATTTGAAATAACCACCACCTACCGTGCCAAATACACTGCATGTTTAATTAACTGTTCTGCCTTCTTAAATTCACGTTTTACTACACAAGCCTAAAGATGATAAAATGAAAAATTGTTACCTTTTAAACAGTTCATTAGTGTGCTAAAATAGTTTATATATTTTAGTTATAGTAGTAAGAAAAAAATCTTCAAACAGAAAGATTCTATTTGTAATTTTTTTATTTCCAAGTTATTTATAAACTATTATACACAGATCTGCATATAACCTAAAAAAACCATAAAGATTAAAATTTTTACAGCCATTTTCAGTGCAAAACCATGACAAAGTTTCCTAACAAAGCTGGTATAATTACCTTCCTTATTATTAAAATAAAATAGTAGGAGGAGGGCTTACTGTAGTATTTTCTAAGGTACTTAGAAAGGTACCTTAAAGTACTTATCCCAGTTCTGGAGTGGCTTACAATGATCTTTCATAGTTTTCCTGTAATATATTTTTTCCTAAGCCTACAGCACCTAGAATACCAGGTGCTCTCCCATGCAAGTACAACCTAGACCCAACCCTCACCTTAAGATATCAGATGAGATGGGGAGTATTTAGGGTGGTATGCCTTAGACTCAACTAATAATTTTTAAATACACAGATTTTCAAGTTTTTCTATTATTTCTCAAAATATTTTCAACCATGAGGATTGTCAGTAGTTTTAAAACTCTACATACCATTTGCATATAGGAATATAAATCTTACATATTTACCGTCTTTATGTTAACTGAATATTTGATGTTTTTACATAATTAAAAACATACTAAGATCCCTTTTATAATGCTGATGATAACCTGAATATTTATGCTGCCATTTACTTGCTCCAAAATAAGTGATTTAATATTTGCAAAAATATTGCAGTCTTCTAGGATCCATAATTTTGTAATATTTTTTTCCAATTGAATTTCCGTAAGCCAAACTGATGAAAATGGAATATTCAAATTTGAAAAACTTCTAGAAAGACTATATGCAAAAAAGTACATTAATGCTTTAAGGCTTCAGTGAACCAAAGCAGTAATTTTTACCCTCCCCCACCTTATCATACTAGGTAAGTACTCTACCAATGAACTACATCCTCAGATTCCAATGCAATAATTTTTAAATGCTACTAAGTGGTGAAAGAATTAATGCATATGTTTATAGAATAAGAAGAAACTACAGAAAGATTAAAAAAAAAACAACAACTATCTACCAGGTCAAGTATTGCAAGGTGTCTTGCTATGAGAGTGCAATATTAGAGTAAAACACTTAATACTAGGTTATCCTTAAGGAGAAAAGTGATTATAACCCATATAGTTTTGGCCTAAAGAATTCAGATTACTCCACAGGTTTAAGAAAACCAAGAACTCAAATCAGAATTACCCCAAAATACCATAATCTGTACTTCAGTGAAATGAAACAATTATTAAAACGAATTATATCACAAGTTTTCTTGAAAAAAGAAAAGTAATTAAAGTCCATGTAAGATAGTTCGGCTTAAATACCAGATTTCTAAAACTTGGCACAGAAACTTAGAATTTAGATCTTGGTAGTATATACAGTATACAATAACTAAGATGTTAAATAGTAAGTTAACTAAAACAAATTTAAATCCTGATAAATCCTATAATTCATTTAATAATTTTAACATGATATTCACCTTAGATGCTTGTCTCAAAACATCAACCACAACTTTAACTGGTAAGCCTGCTGTAATCTCTTTCATTGCTTCAATGCACCATTTATATGCCTAAAAAACAAAAAATTTTTAGAAGAAAACAGAACAATTTGATAATTCAATTGACAGTACTTAACAAAATGATTGCAGATTTTTCCAATAAGCTCAATAAGCTATCAAGTACATAAATAACATACCAAATATTTACAATTAAAAAGTTTTCTGAGTCTTTATTTTCTTGAAAGTATGAATGTTACATTATTTTTACTCTTAATTATGTACAGGCTTTCTGAATCAGACCTTGCAGATATATGACATATGTTCAAGAAATGAGAGGCATGTGCTCTTTTGCCTAGAAGTCCTTATACATATTTCCTCTGCCTTAGAATACATTGTCTCTTCCTCTAACTCTTTAACACACCTAACTTGTCTTTCAGGTTTCAGTCCTGGTCTAAGTTTCTTGTATTTTACTTCCTCTATCATAACACTTATTATTTTATATCCTGATCAGCCACGGTGGCACACACCAGCCTTAGTAATGTAAAAAAGACCTGTCTCAAAATAAAGAGGGTTGGGGATATAATTCAGTGGAAGAGCTCCCATGGGTTCAATACCTAGTACCAGGGGAAAAAAATCTTAATTGCCTGTTTAGTTAAAATGCTTATGTTGTGCTAGCTATTGTTCATAAAGTGCCTGTACTTTATGTTACACATTCAATCGACAGAACAAGCAGTCCTTCTTGCTCTCTGCTCCAAGATTTTTAATATTCCAGACAAATGTCCTAAATAAACCATAGTGGGTCTTGAACAAAATGTAAGCATACTGTTAAGTGCAGCTGTAGTCATCCCAAGTATAAACAAAACAACAAACTTTTATTGTTACAAACCACTGTTATTTTGGGATTGATATTGACTCCAGATGGCCTACCCTATTGTGACTAATAAGAATTTGGTGATAATTCATCACACTATATCCTCAAGATCTGCACAGTTTCTTGAAGACAGCAATGAAAAGTTTATTTATAAAAGAATACACTGTCAAATTATCCAAGAAATGGGGCTGGGGATGTGGCTCAAGCGGTAGCGTGCTCGCCTGGCATGCGTGCGGCCTGGATTCGATCCTCAGCACCACATACCAACAAAGATGTTGTGTTCGCCGAGAACTAAAAAATAAATATTAAAAATTCTCTCTCTCTCTCTCTCTCTCTCTCTCTCTCTCTCTCTCTCCCCTCTCTCACTCTCTCTTAAAAAAAAAATTATCCAAGAAACAACAACAAACTTAAACATTCCTCATGAATGTGCTAAGAGCTGCAAAGATCAAGAGTAAGGCATCATTTAAACTACTAAACCCAAAGAAATAACTGTCAATTAAGTAGTAATGGCCTAAAAGGAAAGAAAATGGAAACTGGTAAATAAAAGTCACCTGAGTAAAGAATGGCACAATACAAACTACTCTATGTAAGAGGTAGGGGTGGGGGATGGGGGGTGAGGTGGGGAGACATGACTACAGTGTTTTAGAAAGCAGTATGAGGGAAAAAGAAAAGAAAGGAAATGATGAAAGAGGAAGCAGAGATGGCTGAGTTCCTATGCAAACATATAAAAAGATGTTGGTGCATCTAAGAACTGTTGTATTTTGTTTTTGTTTTTTAATTTTTTTTAGTTGTCATTTTATTTATTTATTTATATGTGGTGCTGAGAATCAAACCCAGTGCCTCACACATGCTAGGCAAGCGCTCTACCACTGAGCTACAACCCCAGCTCAGCATCTAAGACTTTTAAAGACAGGTATTACTTAATTTCTATTGTTAACCTCACTCTCATTTTCCATGAAGTCAAGTATCTGCACAAAGATCTTCTGTGAATGGAGCTGTTTTCTGGTGTGTGAGAATTAGAAAAAGGGGCCAAGCCCTACATCTAAGTTGATAAACAACTATGCATCACTCATTGCACATAAGGGGCAATAAAACAATCCACCCACAGAACAAATTTAGCAGACACAGGATCTCAACATCAAAAAATTACACATACACTTATTTCCCGAAAAACTATAGGCATGCTGATATGGATTTTAGATTTTTACATGTCAGTCTTAAGTATTCTTACATAAATATTAAAAAGGCACAAACATCCTTTTTTAACTATTCTATAATTTTCTGGTATCACTGCTAATTGTAATTTCCCTTTAAATATGGCATATATACTTGGAATAGGACAAAAATCAATATAGAGATAATTTTAAAATATGAAAGCTAAATGATGACTGATAGCATGAAATAATTATGATATTTTCCCATAAAATAAAGCAACCAAGCAGCAAAGCACACTAGTCAACTATGTACTTATTATCACCAAAGTATTAATTTAATAGTATAAAACTAGGAATGAAGCAATCTTATTCATGAGGAGGAGGAAGGAGAAAAGCAATGCTATAAGCCATAAATAAAGATCTAGCTTCCAAGTTATGAGAGTTCACTCAGAACTACACATCTAATCAAAAACATCTATTAAGGTTTACTTACCAGAGGATATCACTAAAACAATTTAGGCAGAGAAATACTTGGTTAAATTAAAAAATAAAAAAAGGCCCTGTATTGTACATACACACACACACACTTATTTATTTTAAATATTTTTATTAGTTATTGATGGACCTTTATTTATTTGCTTATATGTGGTGGTGAGAATCGAACCCAGTGCCTCACATATCACACATGCTAGGCAAGCCCTCTACCACTGAGCCACAACCCCACCCCTGTCAAATTAATTTTACACACACACACACAAATACACGGGGCTGGGATTGTGTGGCTCAGTGGTAGAGAGCTTGCCTAGCATGTGTGAGGCACTGGGTTCAATTCTCAATGCTACATATAAATACATACATACATACATACATATATACATAGGTAAAGGTCCACCAACAACTAAATAAAAAATTTTAAAGAAATCTATTTGATAAATACTTCTTTAATATTGTCTTAAGTATTACAAATGTGTATTGCTTTAAGTAAACTTAATATGTGAAACTGAGATTTATAAAGCATATGAAAAGACTATTTGATTTATCCTTTTATGGGCAATTATTGGTCACACTGACATATACCTCAAAACACTTACCTCATCATAATGACTTTTTGCAAATAGGAGTGCACACAGTTCCCCATAGAGTGCAGCTTTGTTTGCTTGCTGGCCATGTTTTGACAGTTTATCCATATATGTCTGAGCTAACTTGAATGTTTCTTCACCCAAATGATATTTGCAGTTTCCATTTCGTACATGAAGCAACCTGTAAAACACAAATAACTGTCCTTTATTTCTGGTATTCCAGCACATATAACCTGATAACTTATAATTACTATGTAATGCTTAAATAACTGAAGATAGATGAAAGAAATGAGGCAACATCAGAAAAAAATTGGCCTAGAATAGGGTTAATTAAGGCCCATAAAAAGTACAATACAGGCCAGACATGGTGGTGCACACCTGTAATACCAGCAGCTTGGGAGGCTGAGACAGGAGGAYCACGAATTTAAAGCCAGCCTCGGCAACAGTGAGGTGCTAAGCAATTAAAAAATACAAAATAGGGCTGGGGATGTGGCTCATTGGTTAAGTGCCTGAGTTCAATTCCAAGCACCAGAATAAACAACAACAACAAAAAAAGTAGAATACATGTTCTTCCAAGAAGCTTCACATAATTAACCTGATCCAATTTTGATTTCTTATCTTCTCTAAGTATTTTGTACACTTTGTGTACTCAGCATGTGCTATATATATAAAAAAAATTATTTTTTTGGTTCCAAATCCAAAAGTAATAGTTTCAGTATAAGAAATCTGAAAATACCCAGGTGTGGTGGTACACACCTGTAATCCTAGTGGCTCAGGAGGCTGAGGCAAGAGGATCTCGAGTTCACAATCAGCCTCAGCAAAACAGAGGTGCTAAGTAACTCAGTGAGACCCTGTCTCTAAATAAAATACAAAATAGGGCTGAGAATGTGGCTCAGGGGCTGAGGGTCCCTAAGTTCAGTTCCAGGTATATAAAAAAAAAAAGAGGGCCAGGGACATAGCTCAGTTGGTAAAGTGCTTGCCTCGCATGCACAAGGTCCTTGGTTCAATCCCCAGGAAAGAAATCTGGACAACAGACCAGATGTGATGGCATACACCTGTGATCCCAGCTATTTCAGAAGGCAGAGGCAGGAGTATCCCAAGTTCAAGGCCAGCCTAGGCAACTTTGAGACCCCTGTCTCAAAGTAAAAATAAAAAGGACTGGGGATATAGTTCTCAATGGTAGAGCACTCCTGGGTACAATTCTCAATATTGGGGTGGAGGGTCAAGGAAAGGAAAGAAAAATAATGAAGGAAATAAAAATCAGCCTGAGATACCATTACCCACCATTACTTTTCATTCTTATTTTAGTATACTTGCATAATACTTGGTCACTGATTTCATGAATGCTCATTTTTGCTTATTTTATGGGAAATAGCAGTATATCAGTTACTGCTAACCTTTATCCTTGGTGGCAGAAAATACAGTGTTCTTTACATAAAGTAACTGTACAGCCCATCAATCAACTTAATGATATTCAAGAATACTAAAATACTTTAGATCAGAATAAAGTCTAAATAGCAATAGACTGTACATCTATATAACACATGAGCACAATGTTAGGACTAAATAAATATATCTTATTATAATGATGGCTTGAACATTATGTCAGGGCAATATTATTTTCTTTGTATTAGGCTAATGCAAATTTCTGATGCTCAGCTTGAAAAGGAACCAAAGTATAAAAGATATTTTAAATGAAAGCCAAATGACAGGTTCAGAGGCACAAACCTGTAATCCCAGTGTTTCTTTCTGAAGCAGGAGAATTACAGGCTTAATGTTACCCTGCTTAGTGAGACCCTGTCTCAAAAAAATAAAAGAGGCTGGGGTTACAGCTCAGCAGTAAAACACCCCTGGATTCATTCGGCTTGGGTAAATATTTAGGAGTGATGGATGGGTTGGATTGTAAGCGTAGGAACATAACTTTAGAAGAAATAGTCATGGGTATGGTCACACCTGCCTAATCCTAGCTTTTGGAGAGGCTGAGTCAAGAGAACTCCAAGTTTAAGACTAGCTTGGACAATTTAATGAAAAATAAAAAATAAAATGGCTAGGAATATAGCTTAATAGTAGATCATACCTGGGTTCAACTCCCAGTATCCCCCCCACCCCTCACATACACAAAATAAAAAAAAGGAAAGAAATCCAAGTGGGCTGAGTGTAGCTCAGTGATAGAGCACTTAACCTAGCATGCACAAGATCCTAGCTTTGATTCCCAGCACCAAAAAAAAGGGGGGGGGGTAAGCAGGAGAAGGAAGGGAACAAGTACAGAAAGGTTGGGAAGCATTCTTCAGGGGTATCACAAGTAGAAACTTAAGATTTTTCTTTTTTTAGCTACACCAAAAATATTAACAGATTAATAACCCAAAATGAGAAAAATTCAATTTTTTCTCCTCTATCATTTCTTTCACAGGGAAACAGAACAACTTCAAAAACAGCTAAGGACTATTGATTAGAAAGACATTTAATCAATAAGTGGTGTATACATACTATAGTGTAGTGCCAATAATCACCACATAGTTATCTTCATTTCAAAAAGAATAAAACCCTTATACAAAATAATATTCTAAGGTTATTCTAAAATTCCAAGTATCTTTTTTATAAGTCAGAGCCAAATAAACTTGTAAAACTAATGGGTAACTCAACTGGATGGTTCCTTATCTTCAAAGAAAAATAGTGCTTGGGAAGGGAGTATTTCTTTTTATGGACAATGTGGAATCTGTACTTGATTAGAGAGCTAGGCCAAAACAACAGACTCACAACAGACAACAGAAAGATGGAAAGAACTTATTTCCTTGATAATCTCCAAGAATTCTGCATTAATCTGCACTCAATGGTGTATCATCTTTTTTTTTTTTCTTCCTCCTTTTTTGAGTTCAAACTAGGGATTTAATTTAGGGGCGTTTAAAAATGAGCCACATCCCCAGCCCTATTTTGTATTTTACTTAGAGACAGGGTCTCACTGAGTTGCTTAGCACCTCGCCTTTGTTGAGGCTGTCTTTGAACTCCTGACTCTCCTGTCTCAGCTTCCAGAGCAGCTGGGATTTCAGATGTGTGCCACCACGCCTGGTAACACTGTATTATCATTTTATCAAATGCTTTGTATTTTGAGGATGCACTGCTATTTGTGAATTACACAATCTATTATCAATATCCCTTTTGTACCAACTAAATCCCTTTTGTTTTTATCCTGAATTCTTCATTGTCAACATTATTGTTTTGGTGTGTCTCTTCTTAACAATATATGGCTAGATTTTATTTTAGCCCTTTTGGCAATTTGAGGAACTAATTATAATAACATGTATTATAATAATCATTATAAATGCTTATAATCTTTTCATCTTATTTTTATATATCATACTTAGTCATGTCTATATTTTCTTTCCTTATATCTAGTTGATCAAGTTTCTAATCCTTCTAACCCATGCTCCCTCCGCTCAAAACTGGTATTTGGACATTAAATAATGATGCCCATTCCTACTTTCCCCACCAAGATGAGACATTTATAATGCTGTTACTTCTCTATTCTCCCAAATGTATACTTAAAGAAATAGGCTATCAATATATGCCTAATACAAAGTAATTTCATTTTGCATCCAAAAATATTTTTGGTATCCATGGGGGTCTTAGAACCAACTACTTTTGTATGCTAAGGGAATAATGGCATAGTAATTCTGATTGTTTCTGGGCAGTGAGATTATGTACAACATTTATTTTATTAATAGTTAATAGTTTCTGTATTTTTAAATTTGTTTGGCAATAGACATGTATGAACAAAAAACTACAACAAAAACAAGTAAAGGGAAATAGGCAGAGTTTCAAAGGAATAAAAAAAAAAAACTACTTAAAAAAAAAATGGTACCAAGTTTAACTACAGAAAGACCAAGAAGGCTCTCTGACATTTGCTCTATGTTTCAATGCCAGCCTTAGATTAGAAACTGACTTTATAATATTAAATTGAAGAACACACTTTACTCTTGCATCAAGCTCAAAAACCCTGAGATTAATTAACCAAAGGATTCCATTAGTATCTGTTCTGAAAAACATTTCTTTTCCAATTCAACATGGTCAATTAAAACCTCAAATTTTCCCATGCCTTAAACACATCTAAATTAGAAAAGTGTAATCTTTTTTTTAAAATTAATATTCAGTAGATGATTATATACTACATACTAACTATATTACATATATTGATGAAGAATTTGGCAAGTATAGTTGTGTAGAGGCAAATTTTTATTTTGAAATTTCTTTCAAAAAATATTTTTTAATATCCATATAACTTTTAGTTGTAGAAGGACGTAATTCCTTTATTTTGTTTTTATGTGGTGCTGGGGGTCAAACCCAGTGCCTCACACATGCTAGTCAAGTGCACTACCACTCAGCTACAACCCCAGCTCTGAAATTTCTAATTTGTAACTACAAACTCATTTGTCCTAGTACACAGACAGTAAGCTGAAACTATAAATGCTATTGTTTCTTAGTCTAGACAACATTCAGTTCTCGGCGGACACAACATTTTTGTTTGTATGTGATGCTGAGGATCGAACCCCGGGCCGCACGCATGCCAGGCGAGCGTGCTACCACTTGAGCCACATCCCCAGCCCTTTCCTTTCTTTCTTAATGCAGACTCTGAATTCATTCAAGGTAGCTATATGCACAATTAAAAATGTTTTACTCCCTAGAACACCTTACATGGGTTAAAGAATATAGTGAATCCTAGCTTTCCCATTTAAGAAACAGGTAAGCAAAGGAAGGAAGGAGAAAGAAAAAAGCAGACTCAGCTGGAATGAGCCTTCTGCCCTTCCTTTTTCTCCTGGGAAAACCACTTGCAAACCTAAAGATGTGAGCTACTTGCTAGAAATGACAAACAAGGAAGGAGAGAAAGTGCCAAGGTCCTGCAAGAAAACTAACCCAGTGTGTTAGGCTCAAGTAAAATTTATACAAAAGCCTTAAAAATTAGAAAAATTAGGTTATCTGGATGGAGTAGATCTTCTGATCCTGTGAATAAAAATCAAGCACATGAGAAAAAAAAATGTTAATAGCTTTTCTATTCCTAATAAACTAGTTCATACACATAGAAATATTTAACTTCCCATACCACTATGAGATAGTCTTATCTCCTATTCTTAAAAAGATAAAATAGGCAGAAAAAGGCAGATGACAGAAAGATTATTTTCATCAGTATTACAGATTATAAACCCAAACACTAATCCCTTTATAGGTTCTGCACACAAATATCCCTATAATTTATCATATAGTACTTCTAACACACATATGGGCAATTATAAGCTTCCAACTTATTTATAACTAAGATTGCAAACTAAAAAGCTAACTTCAGGATTTGAATGTTTCCATTACACAGGTAACTATATAAATAGGACAATAACATCCTTAAAAGACTGGAGAAAAAAAAAAAAAAAGCCAGGTGTTGTAGCATATGCCTGTAATCCCAACAGCTTGGGAGGCTGAGGCTGGAGGATTCTGAGTTCAAAGCTAGCCTCAACAACTTAGTGATGTACTTAGCAACTCAGTGACATCCTGTCTTTAAATAAAATATAAAAAAGGGCTGGGGATATGGCTCAGTGGTTAAGCATCCCTGAGCTCAATCCTCAGTACCAAAAAAAAGCGCACTGTACTCAATTTTAGCTTAAATCAACAATGGATTTAGTATCTAGACTGTATCTATATTCTAGCTCTGAAGGGGTTTGGCTTTGCTAACTCATCAGCTCAGTGGTAGGGCACACCTGAGTTCAATCACCGATATACTGAAAAAAAATAAAAGAGAAAAAAAAACATTGAGTGGGCTGGGGTTGTGGCTCAGAGGTACAGGGCTTGCCAAGCATGCGTGAGGCACTAGGTTTGATCCTTAGCACCACATAAAAAATAAATAAATAAAATTTAAACCTGCAACTAAAAAAAAAAAAAAAAAAACCCTATATATATATATATATATATTTATTTATTTCTTGAGTTTCCTAGAACCCATTGCCTAGCACAATTCCTAGCACATAAATCTTCAATAAATGTTTGTTGAATAAACCCTATGAAAAAGCAAAGAGAGATACAGATTCACATTCTGGTTCATAATGCTGAAATCTAAGCTAAGACATCCATAGCAGATTCACCATATTCTGGAGATGGAAAACAAGCCAGATTAATGAAATTATGACATAAAAATATCATCTCACAGATTTACACAGATGTTAGAGCACACTTAAAAGAGCTAAAATTGTAGAAGACACTGTATACAATCACAGTGTGTAATTACAGAATCTGTTCCAACTTACCTCACACAACATTCTACTGCACGAAACCAATGAAGCATCTCATCATGTAAGGTACACAATTGAAGGCAAGACAGAAAAACTTTCTCAGCATCACTGTACCAGCCTGCATCTGAAAGAAAACCACCTGCAGAAAAAGAAAAGTAACTTTAGACAATTTAGTAAATTGCCTGAAAGCTAAAATGACATGATTACAGTGAATATTATCTCAACTAAAAAACAAATATTTTCATCTTGCAGTATACACATAACTTTTCAATCTCCATAGGCCTYATTGCAAAGACAAATGGCTCTTATAAACTCATTCTTCTTACTCATCATAGATGAATATACACATAAAAGGGATGGTGATGCTTGTCATCTCATTCTTTTGGCAAGAAACTAATTTACTGACTAGCAATAGCTTTAATGTATTAGACAATTACCTCAAAATACCATCCTTTTGTTTTGTTTTGTTTTTTGAAGGATCCTGATCTCAAAAAATGGCTGATGATGCATTTTACTACACTGCACAAACTACTTTGTATCATTATGGTAACCATTCCACATGAATTTTCTTATCTAATCTTCACAAAACACTTTCAACTTAAATGCTATAATTGCCCCAACTTTTTTTCTTAAATATTTTTTAGTTGTATTTGACACAATACCTTTATTTTATTTATTTATTTTTATGTGGTGCTGAGGATGGAACCCAGGGCCTCACACATGCTAGGTGAGCGCTCTACCGCTGAGCCACAAACCTTATTGCCTCAACTTAATATGGGGAGGGAGGGGGACTTCAGGCAGAGAAACCAAGTTACAAGTTGATAAGTGGAAAGACTCAAATTCACACTATGTGACTTCAGAGGCTAAATCTATATTTGCTATTATGAAGAACACTTTCAAGTTGCTACTCAGCATTAGTTAACAATAGCCAGAAAACAAAACTACTATATTTTTCAATCCTAAAACACATACTTTGCACATTTTTTATATTTTTAATTAATTAAGGTACTAGGAATTAAACCCAGGGGTACTTTAACACTAAGCTACATCGCCAGTCCTTTTTATTTATTTATTTATTTTATATATATATATTTTTTAGTTGCAGACAGACACAATACCTTTATTTATTTATTTTTATGTGGATTTTAAGGATTGAACATAGTGTCTCACATGTGCTAGGCAAGTCCCTACCACTGAGCCACATCACCAGCCCCTTTATTGTTTATTTTAAGACCAGGTCTCACTAAGTTGCTGAGGTTGACCTTCAACTGTAATCCTTCTGCCTGCTTCTCAAGTCACTGGGACTGTAGTCATGTGCAAGTGCACCTAGCTCTTTTTGAATGTTTTAGAATCTTTAAAATTAGGACAGATCATAAAATTTGTCTAACATTAATAGTGGTAGCATTTTTTTTTCTTGGTAGCATAAAATATATGGTGTGTCATTTTAATAATGTTAATCAGTCAGCCAATAACATATATTTCCTCATACCCATGTTTTATGTTTTTTAAAAAAATATCTTTAATTGTAAATGGATACAATACCTTTATTTATTTTTTTGTGGTGCTGAGGATCAGACCCAGTGCCTCACACATACTAAGCAAGCACTCTACCACTGAGTCACAACCCTGCCCTGTTTTATGTTTAATTAAAGCAACATACAGCTAAATATTATTTCTTTAATTGGAAAGAATTGTGCATTAGAACATTTTAGGGCCCTTTCCAAGAGACTAAACTATAATAATAAAATTATTATAAATAGTTATACTAAGCAACCTTCTACTTATCATACCAATGTACTATATAATGTGCTGGTTATCATGCTGTCTCTCAGCTTCAAATCTCCTTTCTAGACTTTATGATGTTGAGGCAAGGATTCTTTACCTTGCTCCCTGTTGGGTTCTGCCAATAGGAAGTGCTAGAGAGCGGGGGCTCCAAGACTGGAAAAGCAAGTAACACCTTTTCCTGTTGCTGACAGGAATATGTTTCTTCACTCTGCCAGGGGCAGTTCATTGCAGTCAGTAACAGTCAATTCCACTTAGAGTTTTCCAACACTTGCAAAACCAGTTTCATAGCACACTATCAATAATACCAGCAACAGCTAGCCTGTTGCTAGTCCTTGGACCCCCTTTCCAGAGCTTTGAGGCACTGGTATCAATGTTGCAGCATTCCAGTTCTTCAAGCTTTAAATTTTCACAATTAGGTAGGCATGGTGGCAAATGCCTGTAATCCCAATGAGTTGGGACACAGGAGGATAGCAAGCTGCAGGCCAGCCTTAGCAACCTGGTATGATTTTCAGCAACTTAGAAAGACCTTGTAGATGTTAAAAAGTGGGGATGTAGCTCAGTGGTAAAGTGTCCCTGGGTTCAATCCCTAGCATCAAAAGAATTACACAATAAAAACCTATTTGTTTGGTTCCCTAAGCTCAAATGTAGTAGCTGATTCTTGGAGTTGCTATTATTCATAATAAAAACATTCCAGGGGTTCTCTTTTTATATTTTCAGTGCTCTAATAAAAATTTGTGATATCAGGGCTGGTATAGCTCAGTGGTAGAGCTCTTGCCTCGCACATGTGAGGCACTGGGTTCAATTCTCAGCATCATATAAATGTAAATAAAGTAACAATATTGTGTCCATCTTAAAAAAATCTTTAAAAAATTTGTTATATTAAATTCTATCTCTACAACAAGGATAAGCCTTGACAACATTATGCTATCTAAAACAAGCTAGTCACAAAGACCATATGTTTTATGAGTCTATATGAATAATTTACAACAGGTAAATCTATAGAAAGAAAAAGTAGACTGATACTGGCCTGGAATAAGAAGGAAATGAGGAATGGCTGTTAAAGGGTATAGGTTTCTACTGGGGTGATGGCATTGTTCTAAAACCTACTCTGATGATGTCTATAAAATCTGTGAGTATATGGAATATCACTGAAAAGTACACATTATATGTTCAAATTATACTGTTTAAGAATTATGTCTCAAAAAGGTTGTTATTATTTTAAAAATCTTTACTACTGTGTACTTCTGGCATAAAGTTTCTTCACTCTCTGAATGATTTCATAATTAAGTCTAATGATATGATTCTGAATTTGCAAGGGCTTGGTTCTTTCTCCAAGATATCTATCTAGCACATCACAATGGCCAGGTTGGTGTACATACATGTGGATATGACAGAAAAACTCAATGAATATCACCTTTCCTGTCTTTCACCTTTTTTGATAACAAATTTTTTTCTATGGCAATTTTCATATTACCTTCTAGAACTAAAGGGATGTCACTGTTAACATCGGTCAAGATCATATATTCTCTATTTTCAGAGACATTCTTTAAACAATCCTTTTTTTCCCAAACTTCCATGAGCCAATTGTTTTTATGTGGTGCTGAGAATCGAAACCAGTGCCTCATGCATGCTAGGCGAGCACGCTACCACTTGAGCCACACCCCTAGCCCCTCAAAATAAGTTATTTTTAAAAAATAACTTTTTAGGGCTGGGGTTGGGTTCAGTGGTTGGGTTCACAGTGCTTGCCTAGCACATGTGAGGCCCTGAGTTTGATTCTCAGCACCATATAAGAAAATAAATAAAATAAAGTTATAGGCTGGGTGTGGTGGTGCATGCCTATAATCCCAGCAGCTGGGGAGACTGAGGCAGAAGAATCACAAGTTCAAAGCCAATCAGCAGTGATAAGGCACTAAGCAACTAAATAAAATATAAAATATGGTTGGGGATGTGCTCAGTAGATGAGTGTCCCTGAATTCAATTCCCAGTACCAAAAATAAATAAATAAATAAATARAGTTATAAACAAAAAAAGAACACATGCTTTAAAAAATAACTTTTTCAAATAGGGAAAGAAGGTAACAACAATTTAAAGCTTGAAACATTATTTATCTATATACATTTGTGAAATGTTTACAAATAATAAACAATATTTTTCTGTATGTATATCATGCAAAACTCTTCCAGAATGCTTTTACATTTATGTTTTCATTATCCTCATAACATCTTCATGAAGCAATTAGAATAACCCTCAATTTAGAGACTAGAAAACTGAGCCCCAAAAGGATTAAGTCCCATGCCACAGCAAATACTAAGCAGGTGAAAGAGTTTGGAAGCAGCATGACATGACAGAAAGATATGTGCTTTGTAATCAATCATATAGACACAGGTTCTAAACTTAGCTCTTTACTAGCTATGTGACTTGATCTGGTTATTCAACTTTTCTATTTCCTCATATGTAAAAGGTTAAAGTACTTCAGGACTGGGGCTGTAGCTCAGTGGCAGAGCACTTGCCTAGCATGTGTGAGGCACTGGGTTAGATCCTCAGCACCACATAAAGATAAACAAACAAAAAATAAATAAAAAATAAAGGCATTTAGTCCATCTACAAATACAAAAAAATTTTTTTTAAAAATATCATTACTTCACTGGAACGTCATGAGAATTTAGGATAATGCCATTTAAATACCTAGTGTAGTGCTTAGCACAGCATTAATATCCAATAAATTACACCTAATTCTTCTGATATTTTCCTCATAACTTCCCCATATAGACTTTGGGAAATTCCTGGAGAAATCCTTTATTGTTGGGTTTACTATGAGTTCATAATAGGATAAAACTCTCCCCTACTAATAGTATTACTTACCTAAAACAAAGCCAACCTGAATGGCTTTTTCCTTTACTGCAGCATCAGATTCTGCTATGTAAGAGCACCGTCTACTAAACGAGTAGGCCAAGACTGAAGCAACTTTAACACCATGATCCATCAAAGCCTGAAAACAATGATGAAGCAAATGTCTGAAAAAGAAAAAAACATTTAATAGAGGAATCTTATTTCTTTCCTTTTAGAAAGCTAGTTGCTTTTCTCTATTAATATTAGTATCATTATTTTCCAAGATAAAATGAGATAGAAAGCATTTTGCCTTATGAATTATAAAGCTATAGTAAATTAAAAATTTAGCCCATCACCAGGTACACCGGTGCATGCCTATGATCTCAGTGACCTGGGAGACGAAGGCAGGAAGATTGCAAGTTCAAGGCAAACCTCAGCAACTTAGAAAACTCAGTCACAAATTTAAAAAAAAAAAAAAATTTAAAGGACTGGGGAATATAAATATAGCTCAATAGTAAAGCCCCTGAGTTTAATCTCCAGTTTAAAAAAAAAAAAAAAAAAGAAAGAACTCAATTAAAAATGGGCAATGGAGGGCTGGGGATGTGGCTCAAGCGGTAGTGCGCTCGCCTGGCATGAGTGCGGCCTGGGTTCGATCCTCAGCACCACATACCAACAAAGATGTTGTGTCTGCCAAAAGCTAAAAAAAAAATGAATATTAAAAAAAAAAAAGGGGGGGGGGCTGGGGATGTGGCTCAAGCGGTAGTGCGCTCGCCTGGCATGAGTGCGGCCTGGGTTCGATCCTCAGCACCACATACCAACAAAGATGTTGTGTCTGCCAAAAGCTAAAAAAAAAATGAATATTAAAAAAAAAAAAGGGGGGGGGGCTGGGGATGTGGCTCAAGCGGTAGTGCGCTCGCCTGGCATGCATGCGGCCCGGGTTCAATCCTCAGCACCACATACAAACAAAGATGTCCGCCGAGAACTAAAAAATAAAATATTAAAAATTCTCTCTCTCTCCTCTCTCACTCTCTCTTAAAAAAAAAGAAAAGAAAAAAAAAAAGGGCAATGGATTTGAACAGATATTTCTCCAAAGATCTATCCATAGTCAATAAACATAAGACACTTAATATCATTAGTGATAATGGAAACGTAAATCAAAATCACAATGAGAAACCACTTCCCATCCAAGAAAAAGGTCATAACTTTTTTTTTTTTAAAGTATTGGTAAGATGTGGAAAAACTGGAACCCTTATACATTAGCGATAGGAATGTAAAATGGTGCAGCTGCTCTAATAAAGTCTGGTAGCTCCTCAAAAAGTTAAACATAGGGTTACCATATGTATACACCCCAGGCACATACCTCCCTAAATGAGAATATGTCCACAAAATCTTATCAATGAAGGTTCACCACAGCATTATTCATAATAACTAAAATATATAAACAACCCCATCCATTCATCAATGAAAGACTGGATAAACAAGAGTATTATCCATATAACACAAAATTATTCAGTCCTAAAAAAGGGAAAGTAGGAACAACATAAATAATAATATCCCTGAAAATATTACACTAAGTGAAAGGGTCAATCAAAAAGACACAAATTGTATGATTCCATTTATATGAAATATCTAGAATAGGCAAATCCATAAAGACATAAAGATTAATGATCAGCTAGGGATTAAGGTTAAGAGGAAATAGGGAGTGACTTAACATTTTTTCCTTTTGGAATGATGGTATGTTCTAAAATTAAGATAGTGGTGATGGGAGTTGTGGGGCTGTAGCTTAGTGGCAGAGCACTTGCCTAGCACGTGTAAGACCCTGGGTTTAATCCTAAGCACCACATAAAAATAAATAAATAATTGTACATTGCCGGTGGGACTGCAAATTGGTGCGACCAATTTGGAAAGCAGTTTGGAGATTCCTTGGAAAGCTGGGAATGAAACCACCATTTGACCCAGCTATTCCCCTTCTCGGTCTATTCCCTAAAGACCTGAAAAGAGCATACTACAGGGACACTGCTACATCGATGTTCATAGTCAAATAGCTAGACTGTGGAATCAACCTAGATGCCCTTCAATAGATGAATGGATAAAAAAAAAATGTGGTATTTATACACAATGGAGTATTACTCTGCACTAAAAAATGACAAAATCATGGAATTTGCAGGGAAATGGATAGCATTAGAGCAGATTATGCTAAGTGAAGCTAGCCAATCCCTAAAAAACAAATGCCAAATGTCTTCTTTGATATAAAGAGAACAACTAAGAACAGAGCAGGGAGGAAGAGCATGAGAAGAAGATTAACATTAAACAGGGACGAGAGGTGGGAGGGAAAGGGAGAAAGAAGGGAAACTGCGTGGAAATGGAAGGAAACCCTCGTTGTTATACAAAATTACATATAAGAGGAAGTGAGGGGAAAGGGAAAAAAAAACAAGGGGAGAAATGAATTACAGTAGATGGGGTAGAGAGAGAAGATGGGAGGGGAGGGGAAGGAGGGGGGATAGTAGAGGATAGGAAAGGCAGCAGAACACATCAGACACTAGTGTGGCAATATGTAAAACAGTGGATGTGTAACCGATGTGATTCTGCAATCTGTATATGGGGTAAAAATGGGAGTTCATAACCCACTTAAATCAAATGTATGAAATATGATATGTCAAGAACTATGTAATGTTTTGAACAACCAATAATAAAAATTAAAAAATAAATAAATAAAATAAAAGGTATTGTGTCCAACTAAATTTAAAAAAAAAAAATACAGACTATGAGGAAGGAACCTCGTAGCTCTTATCCACTGCTGTAATCTTAGCATACAGAATAGTACCTGGCACATCCTAAGCATTCAACAAATATTTATTTAGTTAACTTGCTGAACAAATCAAATAATTTGGCAATATTCACATTCAAGATCAGCAGTGTTTTGTGAAAGTACATATTCTCCCTTTTTTTTTTTGAGGGGGGGCGGGGAGATACTGTGGGCTGAACCCAGGGGTGCTTTTATCACTGAGCTACATGGCCAGCTCTTTATTTTGAAAAGGAGTCTCACAAAATTGTTGAGGCTGACCTCAAGCTTGCAATCGCCTTACCTCAGCCTTCTGAGTATCTGGGATTACAGGAGTACACCAGTGCAACCAGTTTGTGAAAGTATATTCTGATTTCTTTAGAAATGTGGATTAGGGCTGGGAGTGGTGGTGCACTGTAATCCCAATGGCTCAAGAGGCTGAAGCAGGAGAATTGATAGTTCAAGGCCAGCCTCAACAATTTAGCAAGGCCCTAAGAAACTTAGTGAGACCCTGTCTCTAAATAAAAAATATAAAAAGAGCTGGGATGTGGCTCAGTAGTTAAGTGCCCCTAGATTCAATTCCTGTTGTGAAAGAAAGAGATAGAAGAAAGAAAGAAACAAAGGAAGAAAGGTTAGGTGATAAAAATTGCAGTTGAAGCGAATCATGGAAGAGAACAGCAAGTATAATCAAAGACCAGATTATCTTTCTGTGGCTCCTACTTCATAATACCTATAATGAGGGCTGGGGATATAGCTCAGTTGGTAGAGTGCTTGCCTTAAATGCACAAGGCCCTGGGTTCTAATCCCCAGCACCCCCTCACTCAACCCCCTATAATGAGGAAGCTAAATTCTTGAACTCAAAAGCTAAATTTACAGGGCTGGGGTTGTGGCTCAGCAGTGGAGCACTTGCCTAGCATGTGCAAGGCCCTGGGTTCGATCCTCAGCACCACATAAAAATAAACAAAATAAAGGTATTGTGTACAACTACAACTGAAAAAAAAAAAAAAAAAAAGCTAAATTTACAGAGTATTAACTTTCCAAAGAAGATGGAGGCAAGTGAACAAATTCTCATTGTCACCAAACTTGTTTGGATTGTACAATTACTGTGATCATTTTCTTTTTTTCTTTTTAGTGTTTTTATTTATTTATTTATTTTTATTTTTAGTTCTCGGCGGACACAACATCTTTGTTTATATGTGGTGCTAAGGGTCGAACCCGGGCCGCACGCATGCCAGGCAAGCGCGCTACCGCTTAAGCCACATCCCCAGCCCTGTGATCATTTTCTTTATCATGCTAAATGGTCTTGAGTTGTAACTCTTAAAATGCTTTCATATTGTACTTCCAGGTATATCTAATAGATATGCATATATGTTCACCAAAAGACTTGTACATGGATAAATGTAGCAGCTGTTTATAATAGCTAAAAACCAAACAGCTCAAATATCTAACAACAGTATAAATAATGACATATAATGGAACATTGTACATATATAGCAATGAGAATGAACAGACTATAATAAATAGGTGATTCTCATAAACATGATGTTGGGGTGGATGGAGAGGCAGACACAAAAGTGTACATACTGTATGAATTTACCTAAAACAAGCAAAATGAACCTACTGGTTCCCCAATTTATAAAGGCAATTTTATTTCATTCTAAGTTTTCTGATATGATCATATTTAAGAACTACTTTCTCATTACATAGACTTAATTTTAAAAAGCCAATTAAAATGAATTTATGGTAAATAACCTGAATGTTCCTCAAAATATTTAAAATAGAATTACCAGTGATCCAGTGATTCCACTTGGTATACTTAACCAAAGACACTGAAAGCAAGGATTTGAAGAGTTATTTCTACACCCATGTTCACAGAATTTTTATCCATATTAGCTAAAAGGTAGAAACAACTCAAATATCCACTGATTGATGAATGGATAAACAAACTGTGGCATATATACACAATGGGATATTATCAAACTTCAAAAAGGAATGAAATTTTGACATGTTACAACACAAATGAACCTTAAAAACATATGCTAAATCAAATAAGGCAAAAACAAATGAACAAATACAGGATCCTACTTATATGAGGTACCTGAAACAGCAAACTCACATAGACAGAAAGTAGAATGGCAGCTTCAGGGCTGAAAGAAGGGAATGGGGAGTTATTTAATGGGAACAGAGTTTTCATTAGGGATGACGAAAATTTTCTGAAAATGGATAGTGTTGATGGTTACACAACAAGGTGAATATACTCATTGTCAGTGAACTGTATACTTAAAAACTGTTAAATGGTAAATTTTATGTTATGCATATTTTACTGTAATTTTTTTTTAAAAATTTACCTTTTATCCAAAGCTCTCAATACTTTAGCAAAAACTTCCAACTCACAAAATTCACTGCCCAGTTGACATAAGCGTCCCTGTTGGTAGAGCTGAAATAAAAATGAAAAATGACTTAAAATTTTTAAATTTAATTTTAATTTCTACTTTTAATTATATTGATAAAGTTAATATTTGTGGTTTTAATGAGTAAGATTTAAAGTCACAATAATTACAAAATACTATCAGGAAAGACGCTTACAATAAGAAAAATGGAATACTAATTTAACAAATTCCCACAATTCATATAATAACAGTTCACTAATTTTATGTAAATGTTAAGAATCAATATTTGGAGGGCTGAAGCTATAGCTCAGTGGCAGAATGCTCGCCTCACACATGTGAGGCACTGGATTCGATCCTCAGCACCGCATAAATAAATAAAGGTATTGTGTCCATCTACAACTAAAAAAATAAATGAAATAAATTTTAAAAAAGAATTAATATTTGGAAAACACAGGCTAGGGAAGTAGTTCAGGAGTTTTCTATCTTGCCCAAGAACCTGAGTTCAATCCCCAATACCTCATTAAAAAACAAAMAAACACCAAAACATTGTAGTGGTACCTAAAACATGGTAAGCATTACTAAGTGCCATATAATAATATTTTATATTGGCGCACGCCTGAAATCCCAGTGGCTTGGGAGGCAGAGGCAGGAGGATCATGAATTCAAAGCCAGCCTCAGCAATGGTGAGGCGCTATACAACTCAGTGAGACCCTGTCTCTAAATAAATACAAAATAGGGCTGGGGATGCAGCTCAGTGGTTGAGTACCCCTGAGTTCAATCCCTGATACCTCCCCAAATTTATATAATATTATATATTATGATATTTAATATAATAACATTAAACATAAGCCCATTATTCAAGAAACTTAAAACCATAACTTTTTTCCTTAATCCATCAAGTCCAAGTTTTTAATTCTGTGAATATTTCAACAATACAAGTGCATTAAAATAGGTTAATATTTATTGTTCAATTAAGGTTTTTTAGGTGTTCCATACTGGGATAATGAGACAAATTGGGTTTATCAAAATTGGACAGTTAAATTATAAAAAAGGGGGGCGGGGCTGGGGATGTGACTCAGTGGTACAGCATGTGTCTAGCATTGTACAAGGCCCTGAGTTCAATCCCCAAGAAAAATAAAATAAAATAATAGTAAAGACAGTGTCCAGAAAACACAGCTGTCAATATGCTCCACTAGAAGTTCTTATAACCATCTTTAGAACCTTAGTTTACTTCTGGACATGATATCTTCACCAGTACCCTAGGAGTATGGCAGGATTTCTAACTGTCCAACTCATTTATACATTGATTTTTCAGAATTGTTATTTTAAAGAATATTTCTAAAAATGTTAAAATTTTTTTCTCTCAAATACTACATACATGGTCAAAAAGAGACAAATACACCCTCCAGACCCTGTAACAAATAACTTTTGAATTTACATATGCTATATAAATAACATGGGACTTTAGAAAGAGTTCATAATGACTGCTATAAAAAAAAATCCATGACAATTGCTGGAGGAAAGAGGGGACAGATTATCATGTGATAAATTCACATAATGGTTAGATAATTTATATTAACATTAAAACCTTCATGAGGAGCAGGGCACGGTAGCACATGCCTGTAATCCCAGCAGCTCGGGAGGCTGAGACAGGAGGATCAAGAGTTCAAAGCCAGCCTCAGCAATGGTGAGGCACCAAGCAACTCAGTGAGACCCTGTCTCTAAATAAAATACAAAAAGGGACTGGGGATGTGGCTCAGTGGTCAAGTGCCCCTGAATTCAATCCCTGGTACCTTAAAAAACTTCATGAGGAAAGATTTACTATTTGGGGGGATTATTGTTTTCTGCTACAGAAAAATAAGCCTCATAAAACTATTAATCAATCATTGTAATATTTTCCTATTAACTAATACAGAATAACTCAAGGAAAATAAAACTGAGAATTTACAACCAAATTCTTATTCGTAAGCTACATAATGTGATAATCTTCTGATTTGGGGCAGAACCACAAATATAGTTATCAAGATAAATATACAGGGGCTGGGGTTGTGGCTCAGTAGTAGAGCGCTTGCCTACCATGTGTGAGGCACTGGGTTCGATCCTCAGCACCACATAAAAAAATAAACAAATCAAAGGTATTGTGTCCACCTACAACTAAAACAGAAATTCTTTTTTAAAAAAAGGGGCTGGGGTTGTAGCTCAACAGTACAGTGATAGCCTTGCAGTGTAAGACCCTGGGTTCGATCCTCAGCACCACATAAAAATAAGTAAGTGAAACAGAGGTATTCAACTACAACTAAAAAATAAATATTAAAAAAAGATAAATATACATATTCCAAAAACACTAAGGTTAAAAAGCTTAAGCTTCTTACCAAAATGACTGACTCATCATTACCCAACTTTAGGCTTAGAATTTCTTTTATAAGACAGAAAAAAATGAAAACAAGTTATATAACCATTTTGCCTGTATTCACTAGTTGAAAATATATAAATTCAATTTTATGTGTTCTATGACTTACAATATCGCTTTGATGACTGAAAATTGGTCTAATCTACTAAGTGAGATTTGAAAATAGAATTTAGGATAATTGCTGCCTTAGTTACAGTTTCAAAATATTCCCTATTACAAGCACCAACATTTCTATATACTGAAATTTAAATTATCTAGGTAAAAATGGGTTCACATTTAAATTGTGGGAAGAGGATAATAATTTTTTAATTTAAGTTTAATTGCTTCATCCTTACCAAATTTAATCAATAAGTGCAAATTAATACAATGTATGACCTAAAGGTTTTTTTTTTTTTTTTAATAACAATCTCATATAAAAACAGCATCTAGAGCTGGGGTTATAGCTCAGTGGTGGAGAGCTTGCCTAGAATGTGTGAGGCCCTGGGTTTGATTCAACAACTAAATCGCACTTAATTATTATTATTTTAGTTGGCAATGGACATTTATTTTATTTATTTATATGTGGTGTTGAGAATTGAACCCAGGGCCTCAAACGTGCTAGGCAAGTGCTCTACCACCAAGCCACAATCCCAGCCCCTAATTCTTATAGAGGTCTTATATGAGACAAGGACTGTTCTCAGTGCTTTTCATAAGTCAGTCATTTTGTCCTTTTACAGACGTGGAAACTGAAGCATACGAAGTTAAATAACATGCTCAAAATCATACAATTAAGAAATGTTAGGCAAGGCACTGTGGCACTTTCCTGTAATCCCAGGCACTAGAGAAGCTAAGGCAAGAGGATCACAAATTCAAGGCCAACCTGGGCCCTGTCTCAAAATTTAAAATAAATAAATAAATCACACACACACACACACACACACACACACAATTTCTTGTTCTTTACTTTTTTTTAAGGGGCTGGGAATGTAGGTCAGTGGTACAGCACCCTGGGTTCAATCCCCACTGCCACCAAAGAAAGCAATGCAGGAATCTGACCTCTGGCGGTCTGTTCCTACATCCATATTCTTAATACGTTACAATAAACTGCCTCTTGAAATAATGAAAATTAAGAAAACATAAAATGGGAGATTTTAAATCTTTTAATAGAAGACCTAAAGATTAACATAGAGAAGGGGAAACTGAGGTTCTAGGTTCTAGTAATGATTCGTATATCTGATTTTTAAAAATAGACTTATTTTAGTTCATTATTCTGATGTTTATATTCTGTATCTACAGAGTAATAAAGCTATGGAAAGGTTATTTTGAGTATTTCTAGCTTAAGAAAAAGTCAAATTATTCCTTATTCCTAGAAGTAGTCTAGATGTAGTAATACCTGCCACCAGATAGAGAAACAAATAAAACATACTTTAGTATATGTAACAACATATGACAAAGGCATTTTAATTGCTAAAAGAAAAATAGTTAATAGCAGCACATAAAAGGGAAAACAAAAATACCTACCTGATAAAATATATACCAGATTTATCAAAATTTTAAATGTAAAAAAAAAAAAAATTCAGAGCTGGGATTGTAGCTCAGTTGTTGAGCGCTTGCCTCGAATGTGTAAGATGTGTGAGGCACTGGGTTTGATCCTCAGCACCACATTAAAAAAAAAAAAAAGTGAAACTAAGATATCATGTCCATCTATAACTAAAAAAAATATTTTAAAAAAATTTTAAAATATTAAAAGTGCTCTACCACTAAGCCACACCCCCAGTACTAATATGACTTCTTTTAAACACTGATTATGGGCTGGGATTGTGGCTCAGTAGTAGAGCGCTTACCTAGCATGTCTAAGGCACTGGGTTCAATTCTCAGCACCACATAAATAAATGAATAAAACAAAGGTCCATCAACAACTTTAAAAAAATGTACAAAACAAAATAACACTGATTATATCACAAATAAAAATCATCAAGGAAGCTAGGCCTGGTAGCACACGCCTCAGCAACTTAGTGAGGCCCTAAGCAACTTAGCAATACCCTATCTCAAAATAAAATATAAAATGTGCTGGGGATGTGGCTTAACGGTTAAGTTCCCCTGGGTTCAATCCTCAGTAACAAACAAACATACATCAAGGAAATTGATTGTATAAAAGCCTAAAATGTTCACGAATATAAAACACTATTAAAATTCAACAATACTACATAAAATATTAATAATATATGTGTAAGAGTTATTTTCATTAATACACAAAGGGGTCTAATAAAAAAATGAACTGCCTAGTGATGTTTTTAGAAGCAAAGGTTTCCAGGATCTAAAATAAAAATCTTGAAAGAAAATTAAAGCAACTATTCCCACAGCAATGCAAGACAGCCCAAAATCCAGAGAACTCCTTGGGAGATAAAGGTGGAAATAAAAATCTCCGAACATTTTCAACTGGCATAACTGCTCCCCAACTCATTTCAAAATTACCACAAATTAAGAGTAAACAGCATAACCTTAACAGCAAACTAGCAAATTAATTAACAAAGTAATCTGTTTAATTCCTAACCACAACAACAAAACCCAGAAAGATTTAGAAAAAGGCATTCAAGAAATTGAGTCCAAAACTATAATGTAAGAAAAACTGAAGTCACATAGGTGCCCACATGCATG